ACATTGTTGGCAATGACATCTTTAATTATTTTAAAAATGCCAAAGATATCCTACCACAACACCTATATAGTTTCTTATTTAACCTGAGCTTGTAGAGGAAGGATATAGATGGATCTTTAAGCAAACACATTTTGTATTCTTTTTTCTGTATGATACTGGATACATGAATTTCTGATTGCTGTGTCTGGTTTACACAAGGAAGATATACTCTTCATTTCAACAAAAAATGGTCCGAGTTGCACTCGGCTCCTCTATACACTCGAACATCTTCAACCTATATTTTGTTGTTGCGTTTTCCAATAATGTAAGCTATTATGGTTTTACTGGTTCCTCTAGACCAAGTGAATTTGTGAATGTCTTTATGTTTGAAAAAACCATTCCATACTTTTAAACTGTACTGGGCGCATAATTCTATTAGTCGTTCACCATTTCCATTTACCACTTCTTCTCTGTATCTTCCTACAACTTCGTTTTGTGCAAGCCTTCCAACTCTACAGTTAAAATCCCCCAAAATTTGAGAGGGTTATAAAACTATATATTATTCCTTTAAACATTTGTACATCATTATATTTTGTTCAAGTTTTATTTAGTGAGCAAATATAGTTAATTTATATTTTGTCATGGTGAAATCAAAGACCCGACAAGTTAGTATCATGGTAGCTTTAATGTGTTCTTTAAGTAACGTGAAATTACAAATCTTGCCACATAAAAATAAAAAGAAGCCAGGAAAAAGTCAGGGAAATTTGTAGCAGTGACCACCCTATACAAAATTATCCACAAGTTTAAAGTGATTTTTCTATTCTCACAATAATGCTTTGCTAGGATTGTTTTCATCACTTGCTATTTGGAGTAAATAAACCTGACCTTTGGGGACTAGGTTTGTACTATTTGCAAGGTAAAATAGATATGGTGGGTCTCGAAAACATCGAGTCCTTGCCAATCAATTTCAGTAGCAATAATTTTATTTCTTAAATGCTTGAAATCATATCATTGCTTGAATGCATGAAATGAAATACAAAAAAATGTAAAATGTACATGATATGTACGAAGCCTAGAAATCCAATTACATCCTCTTATTCTATAAATGGGCAAGAATTAGAAATTCATGAAAATTAACGACCTGGATTGTGATTTACGAACCAAAACTAAAATTCAGTGAATATATTGATTTCATTGTTGAAGGAAAGCAAATAGAATGCTTAGTTTTCTCAGAAAAATGACTACAAAATTTTACAAACACTCATACAATTAAAACATTATATTATACATTAATAAGATCGTCTTCTATATTATTCATACATTAAAGTCACATAAGTATTACAATATCTTATTTATACATGATTTATTGAAAAACAATATTGACTGTCCTGATCTTCTATTCCTAATCTCATGGAAAATATCAGTTCAAAATCTACCATTAAAAAATAGATATACATTTGAAATTCCATTAGCCAAAACAAATTCATATTTTCATGCTCCTCTACTGAGAATGTATAAAGTAGCATATTCAATCAATGTAGATCTTGATTTACCCCAAAATAACTTCACATTGAAAGCGAAAAATGCAATATTAAATTATTTTTGCTACATATTTATCATAACGTGCTATAAAGTCATGTTATTATATATTAATTAGTCATGTTATTATATATTTGTATTATGTAGAATAATAATGATTGTAAAATGATATATAAAATTGGGCAATTGCCAGTTTTTAAAATATCGACCCGTGAACCAATCATTGTAATAAGTAGTATCAGAACAAGTCACAAGTGCTTGTGCTTGTTCACTGAATGGGTTAGCATAACATGAAGATTGGTAGGGCCTGGATGTTTATTACGTCAAATATTTACTTCCCGTGTGTATGGAGTTGTATAGAAAAAGTTATGTAATGCTGCGCGAAAAAACTGTCATTTATATTTACTTTAGTGGTAATTTGTGCTCATAATTATATTTATGTGTACATGTGCTTTAAATAATATCTTACACAATTTCTCAAAAAACGCAACTATTTTCTATGAAAACTGGCCCAAAATTTCGCATTTTCAGAAATGCTCGAATGCCATTTTCTCATAAATGGCAGAAATCTTCCTTCTAACTTTTTGAATAGATAGTGCTTATTGCTCTCTTTCATATGATGTTACGTTCATTTCTTTTTTATTTATTTAAAAATTTTTTAAATTTTATTTCCACAATTACACAAATGAAATTTTTTTGAAAGATCTCTCACGCCAATAATATTCACATTTGCAGATTTGCACAACACAATTGTATTTGTGAGTTAATGTGCTTTAAATAACTTCTAATGAAGTTTTTGAAAAACTCAAAAATTTTCTGTGACAAAGATCTTCAAATTTCAAATTTACAGTAGCCTTTAAACACCATTTTCTTAAAAACAGTTCCACATTTTTCAAAGAAAATTGCCATTTAAGGCGAGGTTTTAAATTCTTAAATAATATTTCTGTCCTACTATTTGGAAAGTGAAAAATTAAGAAAATGTCAAAAAAATGTACTTTGGGCGGTGATAGATGGCAACTAGGCAATATACTGTGGTAAGTCTGAATAGCTAGCTAGCCGAGACCAAAGGAAATAGAAAACCTGTAAGGCGTAGGCCTGTGCCATTTTGTAGCGCCACTAGTTTTTCTTTGTATTATTGCCATGGAAAATATAAGTTAAGCATGATTTAATCTCCCTTGACTACAATTACGCCATTTTTATGTGTCATATGCAGTCATATTTTGTTTTCTTTAACTGTTTTGTTATTTTACGTTAATTTTTCATGTTAAGGTCGTATTTTCCAAGTAATTCTCGTATTTTTTGTCCTACTTTTATCTTTTTGGGCCCATTTACACATGCTTGTGATCATCTCAACGAGATTTTTCAGATCGCCTAATTGTTATCTAATTTCTTACACTTATTGTATCTGATTGTTGTCTGTCTTCCATTTTAATATGTATGTATGTTAATTAGGAAGGTAAGCTATATAGGAGAAAAGAAAGCGTAGAAAGCACCAGATGCAATGGAAGTGTTTGTTTAGTTTTGTCAGATATTATGCCACGGTCAACCGCCTTGAAAGAGAAGGGATGAATTGTGAATGTGCTAAATTTTAAAAATATAATTTCAATAATGGTTACATATAGGTATAGCGAAAAATTTCGATGGTTTTTCAAAAAAACAACGAACATATATATGTCATATTCGTACCCATATTCTGATACTTTTTTAGGTGATAAATATTCGCATATTTCTAACATTTTTAATCATAAACATCCAGGCCCTCGCCATGAGGTTAGTTTTTATTTTCAGAAATATCTGAATTTCGGCTAAAACAACAAACGCTTCCCCCTTTACGTTAGGGTATGTCGTATGAGGTGTGTACATGCAATCTTTTTGTCCCATTGCAGCTTATTAGATTATTGTTGTTAAATTTTGCATGCATATATTAGCTAACAATTTTACTTTGTGTTCACATTTAGGATTTTTTGATAAGGGCTTTGGGACAACTTGTCTTCAAATTATTTATAGTTCTGTTTTCTTTCTTGGGTTTTTTAAGACAATTTTCTTAACGGTTTTTACTGTACTTCCAAAACTTAGTTTGTTTATTCAACCCTGTATTCAGTTCATGTAAGAATCATATCCTGTATGATTTCTGATTATCTTTAGATTGGACTAGTATTTTCTCTGTCAACAGAACATGGGACTACCTCAAGATGTTCAATAATGTTAAAAAAGAAATATTGTATACAGTAAAATGAGTATTCATTTGAAAAATTATTTTTCTTTAATAACAAAGGCAATTTTGTTATGTTGTTAGTGTCTCTGTTTCAGGTGCATTCTCCAGCACTGAGAGCTCAGAAAAGACGAAGGGAAGATATTGAAAAATACCTCAGAAGAGAGTTAGATTTAAGTAAACGAATTTCACAAACTAAGGTAGGTGTGGATGTTTGTGACAATAGTACAAAACATTTTTTTGAGTGTAGTGTGTGTGTGTGTGTATGTGTGTGTGTACCTCTGTGTGTGTGTGTACCTCTGTGTGTGTGTGTACCTCTGTGTGTGTGTCTTTGTGTGGATCTGTGTCTGTGTGTGACTGTGCGTATGGCTGTGTGTGCGTGTGTCTGTGTGTGTCTCTGTGTGTGAATCCGTGTGTGTCTGTGTATGGGTCTGTGTGTGTTTGTTTGGGTGTGTCTGTCTGTGTGTGTCTGTGTATGTGTGTGTGTTTAAACGACGTGGGAAATGCATTTACGCACCCTCGACCCAGACTCTCATGTACGTCCCTCGCCTCACCTACGGAACCGCCGTTCGACGTTACTTCGTTAGGTGGGGTAGCGCGGCTATTCTAGCCCTCCGCGTTTACGCCTTTTTTGGCTTTTTCCTCTCGCAAGTGTGATTGTGTGTGTGTGCGCGAAACGCGACGAGACGAGACGAAACGAGTCGGGACGCGACGAGACGTGTCTATGTGTGACTATGTGTTTCTGTGTGTGTGCCTCTGTGTGTGCGAGACGCGAAGAGACGCGAGACGAGAAAAGACGCGAGACGAGACGCGACGAGACGAGACGCGACGCGACGAGACGAGACGCGACGCGACGAGACGAGACGAGACGCGACGAGACGAGACGCGAATAGACGAGACGCGACGAACCGAGACGCAAAGAGACGAGACGCGACGAGACGAGAGACGACGAGACGAGACGAGAGACGACGAGACGAGAGACGACGAGACGCGAAGAGGCGCGACGATACGCGACGAGACGTGACGCGACGAGACACGACGAGACGCGACGCGACGAGACACGACGAGACACGACGAGACGCGACGAGACGAGACGAGACGCGACGAGACGAGACGAGACGAGACGAGACGAGACGAGACGAAACGCGACGAGACGCGACACGACACGACACGACACGAGATGGAGAACAATATTAGTGTTGCAACAGCTCAATATTAGTGTATGATTATTTATGCTCTCTGATTTCAGAGTCCAGTTAATTTGAGTAGTATTTGGATGAGTGAATATCAAGAAAAATTTTCCCAAGGAGCTAAAAGTTTTGGAAAGATATGTAGGCCGATGTCCGCTCCTTTGTATTATCCTTTAGGCTGGAGATGCAGATGATACTAAATTTATAAAAAAAATATATCTATTTAATTATTGAGTGACTTTTTATATAACTAATGTTTGAAATTTATATAATAGTTGCTATAAATGTAATTGTGATTCACCTTTTTTATTTTTTTATATTATACTATTTGCTCTTTCCGTCCATATTGATGTGCTACTATTTTGACTGTGTTGTTGTTGTGAATATATGTATGTTTTATAATTGTTATTTAAATCATTTTGTTGTAAGTTTTTCACTAATAAAAACATATTGGAATATAAAAATGCATTTTTCATTTAGGCTATGTCACAAATTGTGAATGCCTAAAGGCAGCTGTTCAAGATTGTAATGAGGAATTGTGAGATACAATTTATTTTTTTATTTGTATAGAGTTTATGTATTTGTATGAAGTTTATTTTTTTATTTGTATACAGCAATGAGCGTCGAGCATTAAGGTACGAACGAAGACCGACAATCGATAAACGACAAACGACGCAAGATGAACGACGAAGGACTAGAAACTAGCGACAAGTAAGAGCGACCAGCGGTCAGTGACAAACGGCGATCCACAAACAACGTCCGAAGAAAGTCAGAACTCAAGAGTGTGCGAAAAAACGAAAAATATAAAAAGTAAATATATATAAAAATTCAAAAAATAAAAAATTTGAAAAATATAAAAATTCAAAAATTATAAAATTAAAAATATATAAAAATTCAAAAATATAAAATTTGTAAAATATAAGAATTCAAAAATATAAAAAGTAAAAATATATAAAAATTTAAAAATAAAAAATTTGGAAAATATAAAAATTGAAGAATACAAAAATTCAAAAAATTTGAATATTCAAAAAATATAAAATTTTGATAATAAAAAATTTCGAAAATAATAAACAATAACAAAATACAAATTTTTGAAAAAATTAGAATAAAAATTCTTCATTTTCGAAAAATATTATCAAACGACGAAACGAATATTTGTAAAATATAAAAAGTAAAAATATATAAAAATATAAAATTTGTAAAATATAAAAATTCAAAAAATACAAATTTTTTGAAAAAATTAGATTAAAATTTTTTTATTTCGAAAAATATTAACAAACGACGAACTGGCATCGACGAACGACGAATAACGGCACGACCGACGAGAAATGAGTGTCGAGCATCAAGGTACGAACGACGACCGACAACCGATAACCGACAAACGACGAAAGACGAACGACGAAGGAATAGAAACTACCGACAAGTAAGAGCGACCAGCGGTCAGCGACAAACGGCGACCCACGAACAACGAACGAGGAAAGTCAGAACTCAAGTGTGTACGAAAAAAAGAAAAATATAAAAAGTAAACATATATAAAAATTCGAAAAATAAAAAAATTGAAAAATATAAAAATTCAAAAATACAAAAAGTAAAAATATATAAAAGTTCAAAAATATAAAATTTGTAAAATATAAAAATTTAAAAATATAAAAATTCGAAATATATAAAAAATCGACAAATAAAAAAATTCGAAAAATATAAAAATTCAAAAAATAAAAAAATTTGAAAAAATAAAAATTCAAAAAATATAAAAATAAAAAATACAAAAGTTTAGAAAAAAATAGATTTATTTTTTTTATTTCGCAAAATATTAACAAACGACGAACTGGCAAAGACGAACGACGAATAACGGGCACGACCGACGAGAAATGAGTGTCGAGCATCAAGGTACGAACGACGACCGACAACTGATAACCGACAAACGACGAAAGACGAACGACGAAGGAATAGAAACTACCGACAAGTAAGAGCGACCAGCGATCAGCGACAAACGGCGACCCACGAACAACGAACGAGGAAAGTCAGAACTCACAAGTGTGCAAAAAAACGAAAAATATAAAAAGTAAATATATATAAAAATTCAAAAAATAAAAAATTTGAAAAATATAAAAATTCAAAAATATAAAATTTGTAAAATATAAAAATTCAAAGTTATAAAAATTCGAAAAATATAAAAAATCCAAAAATATAAAAATTCGAAAAATATAAAAATTCAAAAAATATAAAATTTTGAAAATATAAAAAATCGAAAAATATAAAAAAAATAATACAAAATGTTAGAAAAAAAGATTATTTTTTTTATTTCGCAAAATATTAACAAACGACGAACTGGCAACGACGAATAACGGGCACGACCGACGAGAAATGAGTGTCGAGCATCAAGGTACGAACGACGACCGATAACCGACAAACGACGAAAGAGGAACGACGAAGGAATTAAAACTACCGACAAGTAAGAGCGACCAGCGGTCAGCGACAAACGGCGACCCACGAACAACGAACGAGGAAAGTCATAACTCACAAGTGTGCGAAAAAACGAAAAATATAAAAAGTAAATATATATAAAAATTAAAAAAAAAATTTGAAAAATATAAAATTTCAAAAATATAAAAAGTAAAAATATATAAAAATTCAAAAATATAAAATTTGTAAAATATAAAAATTTAAAAATATAAAAATTCGAAATATATAAAAAATTGAAAAATAAAAAAATTCTAAAAAATATAAAAATTCAAAAAATATAAAAATTTGAAAATATAAAAATTCAAAAAATATAAAAATAAAAAAAACAAAATTTTAGAAAAAATTAGATTAATTTTTTTTATTTCGCAAAATATTAACAAACGACGAACTGGCAACGACGAACGACGAATAACAGGCACGACCGACGAGAAATGAGTGTCGAGCATCAAGGT